CATTCCATCTTTTAATATTTAGATCAATTTTAAAAAGATATCATCATATTTTACAATATTGGATTTGTAGATCAATTTTAAAAAGATTCGTATTCCAAATCTACAAAAAAAATCCATGGATTTTTTTATTCAAACCCATTTGAAAATGGTGTATTAATTATTTTGAAAATATTTTTGTATTTTACTTTGATTAATATGGAATTAAATACATTCCATATTTTACGAACTTTGTAGCTATTTTAAAAAAAAAAATCCGTGCTCTAATTTTACAAAGATTTGTGCATTTTTTTTCCAATATGAACGCATCTCTGTTAAAGTTTTAAATAAATATAGTTGTACAAGATTGGTATCTTTAAAATTGTTTGTACACAAACCTTATTAACATAGATTAATTTGAGCCGACTACAATATCAAGGTAAATTGTCTTGAATTTCGTGATAATAACTCAACATTAAAGAAATTATAATTTGATGCAAAAATAATGTACATAGTAATTTAAAATTTATACGGTCCTATTGATAGGTATCAATATTTTTTAGAACCCACATCTTGGTTCAAAATTAAAGTGTATAGGATGTACTTGCATTTTATCTTTAATACTTTTTGGAAACAAACCTTATCAACAACCTATGACCAATATCTTATTAGTATAAATATCTAGAAATTTGGAAGAATAATTCGTATCACATAAATAAAATTTTGATGCAAAAATAATGGTGAAACTTTCAAATCGACGATAAAAGTAAATAACAATATATTTAAAAATCGTACCATTCTTACAACCGAACACCAAAACCGACTGGTGTTGATCGGTTTGCAAGCAAACATTATATTTAAGTTAATCGGACTGAGCAATAAACCAATTGCCGGTTAATTCGGTCGAATGTTCGGTCCGGTCCTGTTTTGAAAACAATAGGTGAATTATAATTAATGTTCTTTATATATTTAACTTATGACACAATCGTAATATTGTTTCCCCGTGCATCGCGCGGGCCACGTACTAGTTAATATATAATAAGAATTAACTTAATTTATTTTTAGTAATCTTTTTCCATCAAAAAATTAATTAGTGCCTACATACAGTAACTTAATAAACTTTTATTAATTATTGCCTAATTATATTAGATATGTTTTTCCGTTTATTAATAGATTTTCGTTTGCAGAATGTTATGTTTTTTATTTACTAGGCACTTCTATAAACACTTTGTTTTGATTACGTTGGTATAGAGAACATTTTAAATTTAAAGTTAATATTCTTATTTGGGATACGACTATTAATAATATTATTTGTAATTTAACGACAAATCTAATAATAATAATAATATTAACAATACTCTCCTTATTACCTACTTAACATACTCTCATTATATTTCCGATTTTTTCCCAATTTCAATAATTAAATTGTGCAATATGGAATTTAGAATCTCTTCCTTTCAAATACTTTCCCGCCAATATCTTTAATTATTGGCTAAAAATAGTAAATTATCAAAATTGTAATTTATTAGCATATATATTAAGGATTAAAATATATTATTCATTTATACTTTGATATCTTTATTTAAATTGGCAAAATATATGGATGTATCTATATGGATTTATCTATCTATTAATATATAATAAGGATTAACATAATTCACTTTTAGAAACACTTTCCCGCCAATATCTTTAATTATTGGCTAAAAATAGTAAATTATCAAAATTGTAATTTATTAGCATATATGCTTTTTCCCACTTTTTTTTAGGAATACTGAAACGTATAATTACTTGCGAGTGCGCGAAGTGTAGTACGAACGTTAGTAAACAATGTAAAAAGCGGAAGCAATAAACCGAAGATTTTAAAACTCTTCAGGGAAGCGTCCCACTTCCCCTCAGAGCTCTTTCATTGATAGATCAACCATACACATAGCTTGGACTTACAACGACTCGAACTCCCTTCAAGCCTAGCCAACACTACACAGATCCTATCAACTAATTCTCCGGCCACGTCCCGTGGACTTTTAAAAACCTACACTTACTCCCTAAGTGTATAAGCTGTAAGATAGTTTTTGGATGAAACACAAAGAACAAAATAAAACAGCTTCAGTCCTTGAGCTAGTTCGAACTCTCAGACTGAACTGTGTACAACTCTATAAAACAGAATACACGAAGCTCAATTATTGCTCTATAAATCTTCAAAACTCAGCAGCCGCAATGAGAGCTTGCGTACGGGTATTTAAAAGAATCTCCTTAGGGTTGGAGTCTTCTATAAGGCATAGGACTCCAACCTTGATTTCCTTCCTTGTTTATAGCATGAGAATATGGTAAGTGAATCTTCTTCTCTCTCTCCTTGATCTCTTTATTATACACGCCTCTTCCTTCATTATCTCATCCGATTTCCTACAAATCAAAGTACCATAATAAGATCCAGAATATCTTATTTATGGAATATAAAATACTCGTAATTAAGGCAACAAATAAACAAAGATCTTCCCTGTTTCTGTAGTTCCAGGTGCTTGTTAGAACCTTCGAACTAATGCCAAAATAAATATCTTTCAAATACAATCCAAAACTTATATATTGTTAGCTAATATAGAATCAAAATCCAAATAAATATCCTCTTTTTGTGGCAGCATACCCTGCGTTTTCTATGGACTTTGTAAAAAAAAAAAAGATATAACTATATCAATTCATCAATTAATTAAATAATATAATAATACATTTGGGAGATTCATCAAAGTAGGACTCTTATATTCCTAGTATTCACCCAAGAAAAAAACCATTTTAATTAACCGATTAAAATTTAAAAAATCATTGAAAATAACATAAGATATTCTGGGATCATGCCATTATAAATTAACTGATAAAAAATTAAATTATTTTTATAAAATCTCTATTTTAATGAAAATTATTTCGTCCAGTGCAATATTTTTTATCTACAAGATTTTAAAAATTAACCGATTAAAAACTGAAATCCTGTTTACAAGTTGACAATACATATATCTTTTTTACCACATAAATGACAAAGTAATGATATTGGACATGTTATATTGACAATTTTTATTTTATAAATTAAGAAAAATGTAAACATGCAGTATAAATAATTATAAAATGATACTCGATTTTGTAGATACATGATTAACATTCAAAATACCCTTTCTATGTACAAAATATACAATCTCCACATAGCTATTTAAATTTCATGTGAATATATATATTATGAATCAAGCAAGAAAATGATCGTCGTAATCAAAATAGATCAATAAGATCCATACAAAATAAAATTTAGATCAACACAAATCAATTTATTTATGAAACATGGTTTCCCTAAAAAAAATATGAATTACGTAAATTTTGATTATTTTAGTTAGTTTTTAACTACAAATAATAAAATATCTTTGTTTTTTTAGGTAATTATATTTGTAAATATTGTTTTACATGATAAAATGTGATTTCATGTCCATCGAATCTCTATGAAAAAGTAACAATACAAAGAAAAGGTTCTAATTATTTGAATGGATATAGTATAAAAACTAACTAGATTAATGAAAATAAAGATATAATCAAAATCCACACTTCAAGGTAACAATTTTGGTTATATTCCATATATATTTATCTTAAACTCGATGAATCATATATTTTGTATTTATTACAATATTACTTATTTTAAGTGTATTTTTATTTTTGTAATTTTTGTTGTTAAAATGATTAGTATGCTTATAGATATCATAATCGACTCCAGCCAAAAAAATCACCATTTATAAACATACAAAAAGTTGGGAATAATTAATGAGTGCCAAACAAAAAATGGACCAACCTGTCGTTCTTATCAAAGATGTTGAAAGTACAAAGAGAGTTATGTTGCAACTTATGAAAATCCGAAAAGAATTAGAGGAAGAAGATGTTATGAAATTTGGAACTACAAAGTGGAAAGAAATCTTAGTAAATATGGATCTACAATTACCAAGTACAAATTAATTTTGCATAGAATAACAAAAATTATAGCCAACCCAACCCATTTTTCTATTTTCCGTTTTGATTTTTGAAATTTTGCAACATTTTGTGATGTGGAAAATGTCGACGAGTCTTCACTTTTCGATAAAAATAACTATCGAATATGTTCATTACCATATCTAACAATGATTAAATAAATATTTTTTATTTCTTATGAATGTAGATGTCATTGGGTTAATAGTAGAAATTCAACAAGTGCAATTCAAGCAAGTTGCAAGACAACATACCCAAATGATTGACCTTACTCTTCTCGATTTGGAGTAAGGATTTGCATAAAGGTTTATAGCAGAAATTTTATGGCA